TAAAGCAGAAAAAAATGCGGCAGTCAGTTCTCTGTGTGTGTGCGTGTGTGTGTGGCAGGTAACTCTACGAGTGTACATATATATGCATGCTTACATGTATGTATGTGTATATGTATTGAAATGAAAACCTGATTGCTTTAGTTTAATTTTTACGCACTTTTCTCAATGAATACAACTCGTTTCACAATTTACGCACTTCCCAGCACTTGATGCCTAGTTGCTTCTGTTGTTTTTTACACGCACTTTTTGTTGCTTTATGGTTTAAACTTCACTTTGTGCACTTTTTTATTTTTGTGTTTATGTGTGTGTTTTATAGTGTTTTGTGTGTATGTGTGTGTGTTGCAAATTAAACTGGCGCAAACACGTCGCTACTACCCACCGCTCGTCACGAATCCACGTTCGACACTGAAAGCTCGAGTTGAGACTTTGCCAGCCGTAACCGTTTAGCGCTAAAAATTGACAAATTCGGTTGGCCATATCACTGAAAAAAAAATTAAATACTAATACGCTACATGACAAAAAGCTGGCTAGCGTTTGTGTGCGCATTGCAAAAGCTTTAGCTTCTTAGCGCTCAGTGTGACCAAACTTGAATGTTTGTATATATCATAAAAATTTCTTTTTAAATGTATTTTCGTACTCTTTGTGTTAGTATATAATTGTAGAGTTTCGTTGGCGCGCAGATATGACTTGATTTTATTTTGAAAAGAAGCTTTTTGCATATTGTATTTGCTTTATATTAGGTCCGCTTTTATTGTTCTCAAATTATCAAACTATATTTATACGCTCTTGTCATATTTTATATTTACGTTGCAACTTTATTAATACAGCCGGGTTGAAGTGGCCAAGAGCAAAGACCAATAATACGGACATAAGTTGTCGCCTGAGTTGCTGTTGTTGCAGTTGCTGTGGCCAAACATGACATTATACAATAAACAAGCAAACGAAAATGTTTGTGCGAACAGGCGAAAGTGAGTTCCCAGCTGCAGTTGAAGATGCAGCTGCACTTGGTATACCGTTAGCCGTAACTGTCATAATCAGCAAATATCAAAAAAGAAAAAAAAAACAAACACCAATTGGAAAGGAGGAAGCACAACGTGAATCGTCGTAACCAATGATAAATAGCCAATGGCTAGCGAGGAGCGAAAACGAAGGAGAGGGGGAAGGAGAAGGCGAGGTAGAGAAAGGAAGATAGAGACGGCGCCTGTCATTTGTGAAATAAATAAATGCAATTTGTAAATTATATTTTATTTTTTTGTATTTTTCGTTGGTTTTATACTTTTTAGGTATTTTTCTTGTTTTTTTTTTATTGAAATTCCTTACGATCGCAAGAAGCGCACAGAAGTAATATGTATATGGTAAATTGTTGTTGTAGATACATACATAATAATAATAATATATAATTAAGATTATTTATATAATATATACATATATATATATATAAATATATATATGATTTGTAATATGTAATATTTATATAGTATATATATGGTTGTAGACGTGTGTAGCTATGTGTGTGTGTGTAGTGTATCTGTGTGTGTATTTAATTAGATATACATATATATATTTAGTAGATTATAGCATAATTATCATATTATATACAAATCTCAATAAGATTGTTGATTGATTTGATTTGATTTGATTTCATTTCATTTTGATTTGCTTTTTTTGCATTTTTGTTTTTCTAATTTACATTTGATTTTTGTTTAGTACAAATTTAAAATTACATTTTTAATATATATTTATGTATTTTTTTAAATGGTTTTCTTGTTGTTTTTTTTTTTTTTTTATATATTCTCTACACACTTACAGACTATTCGCTCTATTTATCATCATCATCATCGACTTCAATGCGATTTTGCTCAGCTTTTAAGCATTCGCTCTCTTCTTTTTTGCTTTCTTATATAGCTACTAAGCTATATATATATATATATTTATGTGTGTATATGTATATTTGTATATGTTTATATATATATATATAGATATATATATATAAGTCATGCAGCCAGGCGGTGAGCGGTGTTTCAAAGTTTCTTGCCCAAAATTTGCATTTTGTGATTTTCTGTTTTTCCTAAATTTTGCTTTGGGATACAAACACACACATTCACGCACGTACGCACACACACACACACATACAACCATACACACATATACATATACACATCAATCAGTTTGCACAAAATATTTTAAAACTAATTATTATTTAATACAAGTTACAAAAAAGGTTCAAAAAGAAACAAAACTTAACCAAAAGTTACAAAATTAATTAATAATTAAAAGAAAAATATGTTAAACGCAAATTAAGTGAAGTTAACAGTTTGAGTGTTAGTTGTAACAGCACAGTTAACACTAACATTAACAGTTAACAGTTAACATTGCAGTTAAGAGTGTAACTGCTAACAGCAGTGTTAACAGTCTGATAGTTAACTTTTAACAGCACTGTTAAGATTTACAGAGGAAACATAGCATAAACAATTTTTTGTGTTTCTTTTTGCTTTTTTGTTGTCTTTCATTGAATATTTTTTCATGACAATAGACAATCATATATATACATATATCTATATATATTATCTTTTAGTATAACATGCTTTACATATATATCAGTTGAATCATTCATAAATTATCACCCAGTAGTTTTCCTTCATTTTTCTGTTTTTCTTTAACAAACAAAAGCCGAAAGCAATTTCTAAACAAAGACAGAAAAGAAAACATTCACACTCTCAATCACAATCAATCAAACAATCATTTTTACTGCTGCTGTTAACTAGATATACATAATTAGTTTTACATTTAGTTATTACTTATTGCTCTAAACTACACTTTTACAGTTATGTATTCATATATTCCTATATATATATATAAATATATATTTAAAAAAACACTGAAAATATTGTAGCAAAGTTTTCTTCAATCTTTTCTCATTCAGTTTAAAAAATTTGTTAAGTAAAAAATTGTTGATTTTTTTTAGAGATTTTCTTTTTTCGTTTTCTGGTTAACATTATATATTTTCAGTATTTTCAATATTTTCCATTTTCCAGTTACAGTTTAGCTTTTTGCTGTTGTTGTTGTTGTTGTTACCCCCTTCCCCACACATTGAGCTGAGATACATTTCGTTACGCTTTTCATTTAACTGCTTTTTCGCCCTATATATATCTATATATATGGAGCATATATCTCTATGCCAAAAAGAAAACATTTACAATTAGCATTTAGGTTAACATTAATGTTAAATCATATACAATATATAAATACAATGCATATCGATTATAATTATTATTTTTATGTCAATTTAGACAGCTAAAAATTGGACTAAGAATTACATTTGTATGTATATATATATAGATATTTATATATATATATACATGTCATCATATCTGCCTTTTGTAAATTATATTGTTTAGTATTTTTTTAGTATTTTCATGTAGTTATTTCCCTATATAGTATATATTGTATTTATGTTTCATATATATATGTATATAAATATATATGTTCGTAGATAATTTGCTTGGAATTTCTCTTATTGCATATATATATACATATATATCCATATATATATAATCAAACAAATTCAAAAAGGATTATAAAATAATATATGATATATCTATATATATATATATATATATATATATATATATATATAAGTGTGTGTGTGTGTGTGTGATACAGTTGTAGATGGATAGTTTTGCTTGGTTCATTGAGCTGTAAAAATCAAAAAGTTAATAATAAAAAATTAATTAATTTTTTTTTAGTGTGTTGCGTCGCAATTTTAATTTTTTTTATTTATTACAAAATCAAAATATCTTAAACGTGTTTTGCGAGCAGTAAATGGTGTGTGTGAAGTGTTTTCCTGTTATCGTTGTTATTATTATTATTCGTATTGTAGTTGTTTTTTTTTTTATAAGTTTTTTTTTCTGAAATTAGCAAAAATTGTAAGAATTATTATTTTTTGTTGTTGTGTTGTCGTTGTTGTGGTGTTGTTATCGTATACAAGTCGAGTTTCTTTGCTGAGGTTTGTATTTTTTGCGATACAAGGAAATTTTTTTGAGCGACGCTTAAAGACAAAAAAAAAATTTTTTTTTAAAGAAAAAAAAAATGGCTATTTTTTGTGGTTTATGTAACTAGCATGTAGGTGTAGGTGTAGGTGTGTGTGTGGGTGTGTGTGTGTGTGTGTGTGTGTGTATTGTTGTTGGCATGTCCTGATTTATAAGCAAAGTTAATTTTTTTGGCTGCCCGTTGAACCAGCGAACGTCCTAAACAGCGGCTCTTCAGTCAAATGTGTGTGTGTGTGTGTGTGTGTTAGTGTGTGGCTACATCAATTAACATCAAGCTCAACATATTTTGCAGCACAATTTCTTTGTAGAGAGTTTAGACGGAGAAAGTTCTTAAACGAATCTGCCAAAATCTAAATACAATTCTTATATATATATATATATATATATATATATATCGATCCATATGTATGCATATATATATATATCGATACACATATATATATATATATCGATCCATATACATATATACATATATATATATATACATATATATACACATATATACACACATATATATTTATATATATATATGTTTCATCTGCCCCACTGCCTTTAGATATATTGCTGTTGCGCCGTTGTCACATTCAAGTATGTATCCTCGCCGAGCAACAGCAAACTGGGCGCTGAACCGTCGTGCGGATAGAAATATGCAAATTGTCCGCTGTACGTATCCAACACCAATTGTTGCTGCTGCTGTTGCTCCTTTCTCTGCTGTTGTTGCTGCTGCTTCTTGTGCTTCTTCTTCTGCTTCTTGCTCAACTGTTGCTGCTGCAGCTTGTAAACTGGCATACTGTTGATCTGCTGCTGCATTAGCACCAAACTGCCCTCCTGCTCTGCTCCGCTATAGTTGTTGCTGTTGTTAAAGTGTTGCTGTTGTTGTTGTTGTTGTTGCTGCTGTTGCTGTTGTTGCTGTTGTTGTTGTTGCTGCTGCTGCTGTGGTTCGAGTTGCTGTTGTGGCTGCTGCTGCTGCTGCTGCTGCTGCTGTTCCAATCACGTGCTCAACCAGGTCGAATTGCATGTGCAAATGGTGCTGGGTATCACAGGTGCATAGTAAACGCCATTGGCATAGATCAAGCCCGGCGGACCCGCCTGTATCTGAATAGTCTGCGTCTGTTGCTGTGCATCGGCAACAGTTGCTGCTGCATTGGCTGCGGTGGCCGCAACTGGTGCTGCGGCTGTTGCCACTGCCGTTGCTGTGCCTGCTCCTGCTCCGACCGACGTATTGCTGCAGCATATGGTGGCATTAGCCGGCGCTGCCTGTTGCACATAGATCGTTTGCGTTTGCGGCGCCTGCTGCGATGGCGTTGCCGATACCAAAGCCAAAACAGGCGACGATTGTGTTTGCTGCGAGTCCAACTGCTGTTGCTGGTGCTGCTGTTGCTGTTGCTGCTGTTGCAGGTATGCTGCATGCTGCTGCTGCTGATGGTGATGATGATGGTGATGATGCTGCTGCTGCTGCTGCTGCTGCTGGTGATGGTGCTGTTGCTGTTGCTGGTGATGATGTTGCTGCTGCTGCTGTTGCTGCTGATACTGGTGCTCCTGTTGCTGCTTCACCTGATTGGCCAGCGACAGGATGAGCGACAGAGTCTGACGACGCTCATGCCCCATCAGACAGACAGTGGACATTTCAACAACATTATATAAATACATTAGGTACTCATACTGGAGCGGCTCCTCCTCGATGCCCCAGAAATGATTGCGCAAGTAGGCCTCCAGTTTCGTTGTCTGCGTATTGATGTCGGGGAAATCGATAAAGAACCGCGAGCACATGTACCGCTCCAGCGTCTTGATCAGCTGCGAGTCGACAGCCGTATAGTTGCGTACCAATAGATTACAGTATTTCAGCAGACCACCGCCGCGTATCTCCTCCGGCTGTCGCGTTGAGATCAGTTTCTTTTGCAAATGATATAGCGCCTCCTGGAAGTCACCGTAGACCGATTCGCCCACCACCGTGGGATAGAAATTCTCCGATATGGGCAAGGCGACGCAATCGTAGAACAGCAAGAGTGAATCCAAGACGATTTGGAATGAATCCACGGAGAACTCAAACTGGCGACGCATCGTGTCGACAAATTTGAGCTCGACATTCTTGTGACCCGGCGAGTTGCCCAGCGAGATGAGCGACCAACGATCCCCATCATTATTATTATTGACCTTCACCATTTTGCCCACGTAGGCCTCCTTCAGGCTGCATGTGTAGATGCGGCGCTTGCACACGCCCTCGGGCATCAGGTCGAGCAGAGTGTTCAGCACGGCGGTCTTAACGCGATCGAAGACACGCGGTGAGCTTAGCTCGATGGCAAAGATCAGATCAAGATCGTTGTATGGCTGATCTTCGCTGGCCAGCACATGACTAGCTGCGCCGCCATTCAGGCGAATGTCCTTGACCAGGACACCGGCACCGCCGCTATTCACATCCGCCTCCAATTTGCGACGCACCGAATTGACCAAATCCTTCAGTGTCACCTCCAGTGTCGGAAAGTTACCGCGTCCATGTATGGCCACCTTCTCGTCCATAACAGTGTGCAGCTTGCGCACCTGTTCGAATGATAGCACCGCCAGCCTCTGTGTTCCGCCTGTATCAACACTCTCCAGCGAGCCATGGTCCGATGTAGAAGCTATCGAGGACCCCGAGCTGGGCGATGGAGGCGGCGTTTCAGTGCCTCCATCCGAGTGGAAACCATCGTCAATCTGATAGACGTCCATTCTGTTGTTGCGCTGCTGATGAAATAGTGGTTCGGCGGCTCCGTCTAGTGTCCCGCACTATAACGAAGAAGAAGAGAAGAGCTTTTATTAGTAACTGCGTGATTAGAGCTAAATATACTTAGATATGAATCGGATTTATGTTGAAAAAGGAGATGCAATCGGTAGCAGAGCTTTTGCTAAAAGATTTAATGAGCTTGCAAATTTATTTGAGTTACATAACAGTTGCAAGCTTTTACAATTTCCTATTGACAACACATACTTAAAGCTTTAATGAGCTTTCTTTAAAAAAATTCCTCAACATTTTTGAAGTTCTTTCAAAGAAGCAGCTTTCAGAACAGTAATTCTTGCAATTCTTATGCTCATCATCGTAAGCTCCTTAAAGCTGTCTCAAAAGCGTGACTACTTATAAATATTATGCTAATGCATAGCATTTAAAGTCAAATTTTTTGTGCATAAATCATTTTCTAGTTCACTTATCCCACACTCAGCACTTGGAGCAAAGCTTTAAATCACTTTTAGTGATTATCTTAATATTTGTAGCTTTTTCTAGATGAGATTCATTTGAATTCTCATGAAGAGTCGCGCTGCTTGAGTTGCTACAAATCACTTTTTAAGCTTTTATCTTTACATCTAATTCAGATTCTAATTCATGAATTCTTGTTAAAAAAAAACCTTAATATTTATTTAGCTTATTATTTGTTTTTTTTTTACGTTTTATTGCGCCAATGCCGTAATATTTTTTATAGCCCCCAATGGGGAGCGCGTTTTTTTTTTCTTAATTAATTAATTTGCTTTAAATTTGCTCAAATTGAGCGCTGGGTGTGTGTGTGGCAGGCCTTTTACCTGCTGCTATGCCAGCTTACCCACCCACACACACAGACACAGACACAGACACAGAAAGATATTCACTTGGTTTATATTCCCACACACATTTAATTTGTTGTTTATTTCGCTTCTTTTTTTTGGTTAATTTATTTGTTTATTATTATTGTGCGACAGCCGCAGCGTTTAACTTTTCTGCCTTTGCTCTGGGCCACATATGTTTCTTTCTTTCTTTGCCTTTAGATTTGAAAATCTTGTACGTTTTCCTTTTGGTTTTTCAAATTTCCGCATTGTTATCGATGCTTTGTGAACGCCCTCCCGCCTTTCTATTACATTTTTATCGGCATATGGGTCGGGGTCTCGGTCTGCGACTGGGACTGGGTCTGGGTCTGGGTTTAGATCTGTGTCTGGGTCTGGGTCTGGGCCAGCGGCCATGCTATATCTCGCTCTATCTCTATCTTTATCGTTTTTCGTTTCTATCTACTTTTTTGTTTCTTTTTGTTCTCCTTGCTTTCATTCCTTATATTTGCATTTGCGTGCCTATTTTATCAAAAAAAAATATATTAAAAATTCTAGCATAACTCGCTGCTGGTCGAGCATTTGCCTGAGTGTGTGTATATATATATTTATATATATATATGTCTGTATATCAGATATGCTGTGCGTTTAGCTGCGTGCAAATATGCCAACATCCATAAACCAATTCGAGTAGATTCTTGCGTGCGAATGATTCACAATATACATGGAGACGACATATATATATATATATATATATTGACATACATATACAAGACCCATATATATATATAGTTCAATACATATATATATATATATATTGACATACATATACAAGACCCATATATATATATAGTTCAATACATATATATATATATAACTAACACGTTTACACGTGCAAATAACATTGATTAAAAATACTTATTATTGTCAAATGTTTTATCAGTTTGCTTTCTAGCTATCTTTATACTCGCTCAGTTAGCAAATAGAGTATATTGGGTTCGATTATTGAAGTTGTCTGTCCATCTGTTTGCAATTACTCATTGCTATCTTTAGCTAGGCAAATCGGTATAGACCCTAGTACTCTTGAACGATATTATTTAAGAGACTAAGAATTTTTGAATATATTTCCGAGTATTATAATTATAAATTATCTATATCTAGGCCCATGCCATATGTATAAAAACATATAGTAGATATATAAACTGACATAGACTGCATTTTATACAGTTTCAGAGCGGAATTTACTGTTGAGACTTCATCTATGGATCAATGAAAAAATATAGAGCTGAGCCTACTTGAAGCTTGACAAGACGGAAACGACTATATAGTGTTCTGTATAAATAAAATTCTGTTTTGAGCTCTATTGACTTGACAGACTTGACACTTTCAAGCTGTTCTACAGTTCAAATTTAATTGTTTTTGCACCGCGAACGCGTATTACGCAGTCAATTGCGCTCGACCGCAACGTTTTTTACATGTTTTCACTTATTTCCCTTATCAGACAATTTACAACAAGTTGACCTTGTTTCTGTTGTCTTCAACTTGTTCTTCTTCTTCGTCTTCTGCATTGTTTTTATCATTTCCTTAGCTTTCTATTTTATCATGATGCTCAGTGCTTTGGTTTTATTACTTCCGTTCTGCTTATCAGTTGAAAGCTGTTAAGAGATTTATCTGCAACATTCCAGCTCATTCGTTTGATCATAAACTTGGTTTTATCTATATCTTGATTGCCCTCCATATGGAGTAAATTTATATATACGGTTTATAGTTGAATGCAGCTAAAAGCGAAAGGGCAAATAGCAGCAACAGCAGCTATATCAAATTAGATGACGCATCGCATATTTAATTCAACAGATTCACTAATTAGCTTAGATCACATAATCTATGAATATTTTATTTGTTTTTTTTTTCTGTATGGCTGTGAAACGCTTTGAGATTGTTTTTATTTTTATGATTCCTTTAAACGATTTGAGAAGCACAGCAAGTACGTTCATTAAATACCTAATTAGGTTCTAACACTGTTTAGCGGATCTTCGTTTCTGCATGATATCATGATAATAGCGAGCCGCATAAACATTAAGTTCTGCGTGATATTATTTCTATTTGTGCTGTTTCTTCTTCAAGGTTTCTCGCTTTATTCATATACATATATTTTCAGTTGATTTCTCTAGCAGAGTGCTTTATCTGTGTTGTATAGTGTTAAGTAACATCTCTCTCTCTTTCTCTCTCTCCGCTCTTCCGCTCTTCTCTTTTCATGCAATTATTTATTTATTAATTGCTGTCTGGCATACAATTTACTATATTTAATTGTTAATTTTTTAATTGTTTATTGCATTTTCATGAGACACAAACACAGAAATTATTTCATTTTTTTTACACTTTTCCATTTAATTTCTTTCGTAACTTCTTTACTTTCTTTTTCTAGTGTTTTTTTTTAATTAAATGTACACTTTTTTCACTATTTTTCTATAAAACATTTTATGCAATTTAATTTCATTTTTTTTGGTAATTTTTTGACACAATTTTTGCTTTAATTTATATATTTTTTTGCATGCCAGATAAGAGCTGTGTCTATAAAAATATTTTTTTTAATTAGCTGTGATAAAAGGCAAGTAAAAAACTATTTTTGCTATTTGGCATTTACCACTTCTTTTTTTGTGAATTTCACAATATATATTTGCAATGTATATGTTGAACTTTTAATTCGTATATGTACGTATATGCATGTGTGTGTGTGTGTGTGTGTGTGTGTGTAATAAATGTACGCTGCAATTTTCACCAATTTCTTCTTGGCATTTTTTTGTATTTTGCTGCTCATTATTATTATGAATGGTTAAACTTCATTATGTCTTAACATGATAACGATGCTGATCATGATGATAATTATGTTGTTTTGGCTGCAATTGGATTGCATAGCGACAAACACACACACACACAGACACAGAAAGAGCGAGAGAGACACGCAAACAGGTGAATCGGTCTATGGCGTGCCTGCTGGCCTAGACAGACTTACGACTGGTCTCAAATAAAAGTGAAAATCGTTGTTTTTTCTTCTTTCTACGGCAGCAGCCACAGCCATAGCCGCAGCAAAAAGAAAAAGAGAAAAACAACAACAGCAACAACAACTACACGAGCAGAAAGTCAGCTCAAACAAGTGTAACTTAGCAGCTGTGCCTATGCGTGTGCCTCTGTGTGTCTGTGTGTGTGCGTGGTAATGTCCAAAACGCAAAAACAAATATGGATTCCGTGTAGAAGCAGCCAAAGTATTGCAAAGACAAAGTGAGTGAGGGGTGAGGGGATACAATGGCAAGCAGCAATTACCGTTTTTTTTTTTTCAAAAAAAAAAAAAACAAGCGAAGACGACGCACCCGCGTACAATTTGCTTTGATTTACGTTTTCTTCTCTTTTTTGTAGCTGCGTGTTTTTATTTCTTTTCTTTTGTTTTTTTTTTTTTTTTTAACTTTGCTTCTATCGATAATTATTCAATTAAACTGTTGCGATTTATATCATGCACTTTTCACTTTAAATATCACGCACCACTTGCATACATATGAATTTATGCTTATAATATTAATTGAACGCCACAAAAACTGTTATGATAATTTTGGTTCAAAAATTTTGAAGCTAATGCGCCGCGAGCTCCGGTTTTTGCCAAGCGTTTGCGTTGCGTTGCGTTGCGCGTTTGAAAACGAAATGAATTGAAATGCTTATTAGAATATTCGCGAGTGAGCGGCGGCGAGTGACGGCGCGCACAGCAAACCCAAATAAAAAGCTTTTTCTGCCAGCAGCTGACGTCACGACGCCGTTCGAGTGAGTTTTATTGAGCGCAAGTGGTGGTTGAGAGAGCAGGCGCCGTCTCTGTCGCTGTCGCGCTGCAGCGACTGAACGCCGACTGCGGCGCACAGGCTTTGAGTGAGTTTTTTGTGTGAGAAGGGCAAGCATAAACATAGCGTGCTGCAGGTAGATTCTGACAGACTCTCGGTTAGTCGGTCGCTGTCCGCTGCAATGCGACTCACTAACTGACTCACTCATTTGCTCGATGCCTTGCTCGCTCACTCACTCATTCGACCGCTCAGCTGATAGCGCGATCATGCACTCTGCTTGTGTATGTGTGCTGCTTTTTTCTACCTTATTTGTGCTGCATTTTTGCTGCTTGCGCGTTTTCGATTTCATTATTTTGTACATTTATTTAATTTCCATGCAAAGGCAAAATCAAA